GACATCTCCCTTGTTTTTACCCCTTTTAGCCTAACCCAGAGACTCTCAACACTTCCGTCTCCTATGTCCATCTCTACATGGTGTCCAAGTGTGTACATTTTTAATATATAAGGCAACACCTCCTCCCTTTTCCCCGTGTCTATGCTTCCTGAGCAAGCTGTACCCATCCACACCAACATTCCAATCATGTGTATTATCCCACCAAGTTTCAGTGATGCCAACAATGTCATAGTTGTATTTATTTATTAGCACTTCCAGTTCTTCCTGCTTATTCCCCATACTTCTCGCATTTGTATATAGGCATCTAAGATGCTGGTTTGATCTTGCCTCCCAGTTTTGTCCTGACCCTCCTTTCTCTCTGCCAATATAGCCCACACTCCCTCTCGTTTCCGACCCATCTCCCCGGTCTCCATGTTCCCCACTTACCTGTGGGCTTTGCTCACCTGTCCCCGTCAACATAAGAGACTACTTATCTGGGCTACACCATAGGGAATGGACAAGTGAAGCCCCTCGTGGGAAAAGTCCAGGCCCTGGTGGCCTGCCCGCCTCCCACCACAAAGCATCAGGTGCGACAGTTCTTGGGCCTCACTGGCTATTATCTGCATTTCATTCCCCATTTTGCATCTATTGCCACCCCTTTGACCGGCCTTTTAACCAAGGACAGCCCTCGACGTGTGGTTTGGACCCCGGAATGTGAAGACGCCTTTCAGGAACTCAAAAAGAGTCTCTGCCGTGAATCGGTCCTCTACAGCCCAAGTTTCAACCGAGACATCATCCTCCAAATGGGTGCCTCGGAGGTAGGACTGAGCGCCATCCTGTCTCAAAAAATAGATGGGGAAGACCATTCGGTCTTATATATCAGCCGGAAATTGTTTCCACGGGAGAAGAACTACACGGTGGTGGAGAAGGAGGCCCTTGCAGTGAAATGGGCTTGTGATGCCCTACGTTACTACTTTCTTGGCGCCCGGTTCACCTTAGTCACTGACCAGGCCCTGCTTCAGTGGATGAACAAATTGAAAGACAATAATATGAGAATACAGCATTGGTACCTGGCGCTCCAGCCCTATGCCTTTACAGCTCGCCATAGGGCAGGCAAGGACCACGCTAATGCTGACTTCCTGTCCTTCCTGGGGGTATGGAAGAGTCTGGCCCCGACAAGCAGGAGCCAGACTTAATGGGAGGGGGTGTAGCGAGGAGGTCTGGCTCCCCGCCACCCCAGAGGGGGATGAGCCTCTCTCGACACCAAAGTGGACAGAGCCAACAAACCCTGCCCCCGCCCCTCAGAGGTCAAGGTGCAGGACAGGAAGTATAAAAGTATAAAAGCCTGACCACGATGCTTGTGGCATAGCTTCCGGTGGGGAGACCACGGTGATCAATGGCCAAGCTGAGGACTGGCCAGACCAGCCAACGCCTGATGCTAGCCCAAGCCCAGAGACTCTGCCAAGCCTACCGCTCCCCAGCTACCCTGAGGAGCCCATGGTGCATGACCCAGTGGAGGATGCCATCCAGAGCCCGGTACCTCTAGAGGGGGAGGTAGGAAGTACCCCGGGGGCAGCCGACCCTAGTCTGGCTGCAGCACTGCCAGAGCCAATGTCAGTGTGGTGCGGTCAGGATTCCCACTGACTCAGCAGCGGGTCTTCTGCTGCCGCTAGGGCCCCGGGCTGGGAGGCAGTGGAGTGGGTGGGCCTGCGTCTCCCCTGCCACCCACCTCACGCGTGGCCGTCTCCCCCTCTCCCCAGCTACTCGAAGCCAGGAGCCTGGGTTTGCTGTTGAACCTGTTTGCTCAGCCCCTTCCTGAGGGTTTGAGCTACTGACTGTCTGTTGCCCTGCCCTGACCCAGGGCCTGGGCCTGCTAAAATTGAACCTGTTTGCTCAGCCCCCGCCAGAGGGCCAGAGCTGCTGACTGTTTGCCACACAGACAACTAATTCCCTGACACACCTGACCCAAATAGCGAGGCGGTCCGGCTCCCCACCGCCCCAGAGGGGGACAAGC